GGAGCTCACTAAGCTTCGTGCTTACGGTTTTCAGTTTTGGTTTCAGGTACTCAGTTTTTAAAAGAGGAGCTCGGAAAGATTGCAGTGCACACACCATTTGTTCAGCCTGGGATGTTTATACTCTGATATACTTGACAGTTGTTATGATATTTTGAGATACATTGCTTATGATTCTTATATGACGTTTGATGAATATGGTTTTATTACTAATTTAAAACGAAATTTTCAGACTGTATTTTTGGGATGTTTCATTTGATTTTTAGAAGACCTTTGGTTTGTAATGTCTTCTTAAACCTTTGTTTTGATCTGTTGTAGCATTCTCGCACGAAATGTTATATTAACCGACTAAACGTTATGGAAAACATTTTATCGAAACCGTTATCCGCTTTTGAACTGTGGAAAATATTTTGATTTAAACCTTGGGACTATTTTTTCTCAAATAAACTGAAAATTTATTTTAAAGGATTATTATAAAGGCTATTGTAACATCCTGAGTTTCAAGGAATTTTTTTTTCATTTTTATTTATTAAAATATATCAGAGTATAATTAGAATGTGCGCATGTTGCGAATGCGCGTGTGTACAATCGAACCTTGCGTTTATCACGAATCACTAAAGTACCTGAAGAACATTTTTATTCAACTAGGTAAGCACGAGGCTTAGTGAATTTCCCAAAATATCATATACCACAATACATATATCGAGCCACGCCCAATAAGCATATAAATGAGACCCGCTCAAAGAGATTATACATGTATAACCAAGACTATGAATATAAATACACGTTACACTTAAAGCGTAGTAATTGTAGCCTAACTTATAGACAATTTCTAGCAAAAATCAGGATTTGCGCTGGCAGAACTTCGATACCGAGAACTTATATTATTCGAACCTAGATGCCCAGAGCGCCGCTAACTAAAATATTCATGAAATCTCGAAGAAAAACCTCAAAAAACCGGGTTAGAAATTTAGAGTGAATTGAGATATGGTATGGAGGAGAATGGGGGCTTGATCCACTACTTATAGGCAAAAAATACAGGAGGCGTGTCGCGCCATTGCATGGTGTCGGAGGTTGCCATGTGTCCTTTGCTCGTTGGTCCACGCGCGTCGTGCACTGCTTAAAACGTTGATTTTGAAAATCCTGTAACTTTTTCATACGAGTCCATTTTCGACGTTCTTTATATCCACGCTTAGTTATCGACGAGTGCCACAACTTCCATTCAGACTCCATCAGCTAATTCTCATTTTACTTTTAATTTATGTTTTTATAATTCATATCTCTTTTATATGACATACGTTCTCTACTGTCTTTATATTGTCGGAATTGTACCTACGATATCTTCTACTCTCGTTTAGGTTGTTTCGGATACCAATTGACCGATCTAGATTTTGGTTTCTATGTCGCGCATTGTTATACCGAAACTTCTAAAAACCATAACTTCTTCATACGAAATCAGATTTGGGCGTTCTCTATATCTACGTCTTTGCTTTTACGACTAATACGACTTTTGTTTATATTGATTAGGCTAATAATCAACCTATCTAAAATTCCATTTTTACGATACACAGAACCGTGTCGGTTTAATCGAGAAACTTTGAAGAAACATAACTTATTTATACGAAGTCGGATTTTAGCGTTCTATATATCTACGGTTCTGGAGTTGCTGAAACTCCAACAACATAAGTTGAAAATGACCAAAAGTGAGCAAAAAGCAAGAAATATCCTAGATCTATATATAAAACAGAAAAAAGCAATAAACTTTGTCACTTAAAAAACCAAGAAAAAAGACAAGAAGGTGGATTCTTCATTGGAAAACAATAAGCTTTCCTAGCTTCCTTTCTTCTTCAAAAACCTCACAATCACAAAGGGGCTAGGGTTTCATCTAAGGAGAAGGAGGTTGAAGATTCTCATAAACCCTAAAAGTTAGCACAATTATATAGGTCTCAAGGCATGAATTCTAAGTTTTTCGGGATGTGGCGGCCACCGTGTCGCGACCAACTACCAACCACACCGCTACTTAATGTCGTGGTCTGCCCACGAACACCAAGCGACCGTGTCGCAACCCGAACAAAAACCCTAAATCAGAACTTACACAAATTAACTGGAAATTAATTCGTATTTGCGAAACGGGTGTTACATGATTTCCTTGGGATTCTATGGTAGTACTTGGGCATCGAGTTAAATAACACTGGGAAGGTCTCATATTGAAAACATTGAATTATGCAACATCAATATTCAAAGATACAGTTGCCCAAAGATAAGGAAAAAGAACATGTGGATCCTACCTCATACTGAAGTATTATAGGAGGATTAAGGTATTTAATACATACTCAACTAGACATAACTAATTCATGTAGGGATCGTAAGTCGATCCATGGAAAGACCAACCAAGCAACGTCAACAAGTTGTGAAACTTATAAAAGGGACTACTGAATATGGATTGTTGTACACAAAGGACGGGAAAAAGAATGGTGTAATTAGGTGTACTGACAGCGACATAACAAGAGATGTACATGATAGACGAAACACCACTAGAATGGAATTATACGTTGGATAAAATATTGTTGCTTAGAGCTCACCAAAGCAAAAATGTGTTGCACTGCATTTATGTGCGGAAAAATTTATGGAAGCTACTAGTGCAACAAGCCAAGGTACATGGATTTGTTGACTACTTGGTATGCTAACATGGAAAAACATAAGTCCAATTGCATTGCATATACATAACAAGTAGCATTGGAATTGATGGAGAATACAATATTCCATGGGAGGAGTAAACACATTGACACGTGGTTTCACATTATTTGTGAATGTGTAGAAAGAGGTGCCATTGTGGTAAAACATGTAACTACAAATGCACGAGTTGATATTTTAACAAAGCTAATGTGTAGAGTGAAGTTTGAAGAAATGTGAAAGTTGCTTGGAGTAAAAGAAGTGATTGTTTATGGATTAGGGTGGAGAATTTGGATTAGGGTGAGAATGCAATCATAATCCAGAATATATGGCAAGTAAAGTTTGAGTCTAAGTAGGAGTCTATTACTTGCTTATCAAGTATTGTTTATTTACCAAGTTTAGGAGTCATCTATTTTTTTGTTTTCTTATAAATAGTTGTAATGTTTCTTCTTTTTTTTTTTTTCTAAGAAGAAGCTTTAAGGATTGAAAAACATCTCTTTTGTTTCCTCTGTTTCCTTTAATTGATCGAAATTCTTGTTCAAATGAGCGGGGCCATTAACTTTCATCGAAACATTCTATCGGTAAGAATGTAACAAATTACCGACAAAGTTATATATGGTGTCTTTAGAGTTTTCGCTCACCGACAAGAATGAGATACTCATCGATCTGTTGGTCATTAATATTATTAAGTTAATTTACCATGTTTCCATTCAAATCCCTCCTTCAGAGTAACTACACCGTATCTACTGCTGTCATGGTGACAACCAAATTGGTGATGATGATCCACACCACCATTTTTTGAAATTAATTTACAACATTTACGTTCAACACCCCCCCCCCCCCTCCCTTTTTCAATTTTTCTTATAGATATTTTGACTCTCTGAACAATTATTTAATTTGCTTTGTATATCCATCATTAGAATACATATTTTTTCCAGGTATTATTTCAAAGATGTGGAGTTAGGTTAATGGTGGCTATGTATATTAGTATATATGCAAACTTGTATAATGAAAAGCCATGAGCAATATCTATATAGTTAGACATGGCATGCATATTTTTCGGTTGTTACATTAATTTAGGATGTTGAAATATAAAATTTGAAAGCAAACGCGTGTGGAAATATATACAAAGAGATTTACTGGACTGAAAAACAAAAGGATTAAATTTCACTAACCTTCGGTGCATATATCTACCAATTAAGTACATATTGTTATATTATGATGATGATGATTGGTGGATATATACCTTTTCTTGTATATCCTTTCGTATTTTTTGAGTAATTTGTTGGAGAAGTTATAGGCTTAATTCAGATTCTATATAAACGATCCATTGCATTATCTCTCTTACTCACTGTCTTCCTCACCGGTGAATCCAGCAGGATGAATTTAGCCAGAATCCATACTGGTGTTCTCCTCTTCGTCCTCTTCACAGCACCATCCACCGGGGAGATCACTTCTGTGAAGATCCGATCCGATAACCGACGCTTTATCTTCTTCGAGAATTTCGGCTTTACAGAAACCGGTCATGTCTCCATTGCCATCTCCTCTGTGTCTGTTACCTCAGTGCCGGTCACCTCCAACTTATCACGACCTGACCCTTCACGTATTGGTTTCTACCTTTTCTCTAATGTTGTAAGAGAGTATATGAATTACGAACATATTCCATGCGACCTGGATTCCAAATACATCTCACTACTCTTTACTTTCCAAGATCTGTCCCCTCCTCCTCAGTCTTCCTTCAACAAATCCCACTCTGTGACTTTTCCCAGTGATTACTCGCTCTACTTCACCAATTGCAACACTTTATCCTACGTGACGATGGACGTCAGGACAGAGTTCTACAACACTGATAATGCCAACACCAAAGACTATCTATCAGCCGAGCTAACACAGCTTCCGTCTCTTTACTCTAATTTCTCCCTCGTTTATCTCACTTTTCTAGGGTTTTGGATCTTGGTATGCTTCAAGAACAAGCTATCTGTCAACAGGTTTCATTTACTAATGGGTGTGTTGCTTGTTATGAAGTCGCTTAGCTTGTTCTGTGCTGCAAAAATTCAGTATCATATGAAGGTTACAGGTAATCCTCATCATGGCTGGAATGTCATGTTTCACATATTTCAGCTCATCAAAGCTGTGCTTTTGTACATTGTGATGGTGGTGATCAGTGATGGCTGGTTATTGTTAAAGCCGTTTGTGCAAGAAAAGAAAATTAACAACAAGGTTCTAATGGTAGTGATTCCAATTCAGATTTTGGCTACTGTGGCTTCTATAGTAATAGGGGAAAGCGGCCCTTTTATTAAAGGCTGGATGACTTGGAACGGTGTCGTATTGGTGATAGAGGCCGCCTGTTGCTATGTTATAATGCTCCCCACAGAGGTGATTTGTTCGTTTTGTGTTCTATATGGTGATGTTTTGCATGTTCAGGCCATTTGGGAAAAACAAATACTTTCAACTTAATCTTAAAGAACAAGGGGCTAGGGTTGTGCAGGAGGAGTTCGTACTTATCTAGATTATACTCGAGTAAACTTAATCGTCAAGTAGTTTTTTTCTGGAACAATTTGTTGATAATGTCTTTTTGTTTTCTTTTTTGTCGTATGGAATTAATGTGGTAATTGTTAAAAATCTTCAATACTTCTCGTTAATATTGGTAGTTCAAAAGATCTGCAGCTGTAGTTCTTCATTGTTCATGTCTTACTTTGTTTCTTTTGGGATTAATTCCAGTTTTGTGCTTGATCTGTTACCTAGTTTTGTGCTTGATCTGTTACCTATCTTGACATCTGTAATTCATGATATTTTTCTCATCACCTCTAACCCATTTAGAGATCTCTCTCTACTAATTATACGTTCTGTTAGGATCGAGACACTTAACACACGACTCTAAACACACACAGAGCTCATGAAAAATAAGAACACAAGGATGAACATGAGGGATTTAACGTGGTTCGGTCCTTCTCTGACCTACGTCCACCGGTAA